GCGTTCACAGACAAAGCGAATACTCATCAGGACCATCCAGAGCTAACCAAGCCCGAGTAGCACAAGTCGGAAAATCGAGATGAAATTTTACGCCAGGACAAAATCTTACGACAACTTAGGGGTGTCACGACGAAAAACCGAGAATACTTTACCCAAATGACACAAGTCGGTTAATCGAATTGAAATCTCCCGCCCAGTCAGCATGACTCTGACTTCTATTTAAATCCAGCACCATACCAGAATCACATCGGATTGGTGCCGGATTTTAGATCGATTAACCGACTTATGCCATTCGAGTTTTGCACATCAGGAAAGATTGATAAGTAAGATCTTCTATTTCTCAGTCATTTTAACATTTCTTAGTAAAAAAGGAAGTTCTTCTGACTGTTTTGGAACTAAACAAGCTTTCAAATCTCACTTTTAATTACTAGTTTGATAAAAAAAAATCTTGAAATTTCCAAAATGTCACAAAACCAATCTTAATTGAACTTAGTTCTTTTAGATTCGATTAAAGTTTAAGTTAACTAGAAGACCAAATGGAGGGGATGAGGGATTTATTGTGGTACTTTTAATACAATTTCAGATTAAGATGATCTTATTTATCAATTGAAGTTCAAAACTACACGTTGTTAAGTTTAAGCAAGGTTAACTTTATCAACTGTCTTTTGAAAAGCTACAAAAATCTATAATTATTGATATATTTTATGTTTTCAAAATTTTCATCCCCTTCACAATCTAAATTTAACATAAAATGCAAATCAGAATCTTCAAACAATTAAAATTCATATTTTGGCTTATTCATGACTCTCATTTAATAGTCATCCTCATAAAAGCAGAGCATCATCGCTCCCATTGAATTAAGAATTACGTGAACAATATGTCCTTAAATTTTGTGTGATTTGAAATGATTTTTCAAATGAAAAGTCATCTATGTACATGATGGCTATTTGTATTTTCTAAATTTCTATCATTTTGTGATGATTGTCCGCGAATGATTCTACATTATTAGTAAAACAAATAAAATTGCATGTGATAAATTAAAGGGATGTCGTTATTCGTTCGATTTATATATTTTTGCGAAACACTTGTTTCATTAGCTGAACAATTTTTTATATGTGCAACCGAAAAAAAAGTATGTTTTTCACCTTTAAATTGAGCTATTATCCCTGAGTGATCGTAAATTTTTCGAGCTAATTTTTTATGCGATGGAAAATTTATTACTGAAATAATTTAATATCGAAAAACCATTGAAAATGAAATTATTCGTTTTCGGGTGCTCGTAAAATGTTTTTTTTTGTTCGATTCTGGAATTTTCATGAATTGAGTGAGAGAATGCAAAACATCTAGGATGATGTGGATCTATTTATGTAAAATTGTGAAAGAATGAAAAGTTTCTGTAACAATCATCATTGTATGTAAATTTGGGGAATGAAATCTGCTCAAATATTCAGAATCACTGAGGCAGGGGTGGATCTATGGTAGGATTTTTGAAAATATTCTATTGAATTGTGCAGATTCTATTTTTGGGTTAACAACACATTAGGGTACCTGTAGGTACTTACTAGGGCTCTTTAAAAAATCCACTTAAAGTCATTGGAGAGTCTTACTTAGAGGTTTTTCACTTATTTTGGGAGCTCTTCTAAAGGTTTGTGATAATTTAGGATTCAAAAAGTAAGTTGGAGAGTACTAAGAGTACTGTAAGGTTAGTTTTGGTAAAGGTTTAGTCTTACTGAATCGTTAGTGTTTCTAATGGGTTAGTCTTGTTGTAATGTTAGTCTTACCATTGTATAGTAAGTCTTAGAATAAAGCAATCATTTGAAAAGACCATGTCCTACAGGAGAATGGCGTGACCTTTAGAATTTAGTGAACCTTAGGATACAGCTTAAGGAAGCATTGGTAAGATATAGGCCAGGGTACTTACCCGAATAGCAGAAATCGATTAATCGAATCTGGCACCAATCCGGCATGACTCTGGCATGATGCTGACTTCGATTTAAATCCAGCACCATGCTAAAGTCACGCCGGTTTGGTACCAAATTTCTATTCGATTTATCGACTTGTGCTATTCGGGTTATGGTATCATATATTACGGTAGACAGAGTCCTATGTTGAAAAACGTTATGCCTTTTTGTAACTATAGAATCAGTACATTATAAGAAAAGATGTCACAAACCAAGACCTAGAAGCTCACAGAAGATACACCCCTGCTCAGTATACAAATCTCGTTTCCTATTGTATCCAAAATTAAAATCGCTTGTCTGGTTACACAAAATCTTGTATCTCTAGAAACATCTCAGAATATACAAATGAAAAATAACAAAAAAAAGTACGTTGTTTTCGCTCATTTTTATGAATCCTGATATTGACGCACGTTGCGCAAACAACATCTTTCAACAAAAGGTTTGGTTGGAGACATGTAGGAGATAAAAAAAATAGTAAACTATTCTATATGAATGAGAAAATGCCATCTTTCTTGCTATCTGATCTAAAGTTTTTTGATTTAATTTCATCTGCATCGTGTGCTGAGAATAAAAGGAAGAAATCTTTCAAAATGATTAATGAATACAAGAAGCTTTTTGGAATATTTTATCAACTATTTTTTTCATAGAATCATCCACAAAAAAATATGAGACATGAGCAAAAAAAAAATATTTAAGTTTTCATCCATTTAATTGAAATGTGTGTCAAATCATCGTTTCTCATCGACTCCAAATAAAGAACTTTAATTGACAAAGTTTTCCTTACTATGCTCGTTCACAATAGTCTTCAATTCAGTGAAGCGAATGAAAATGGGATTACTTTCTACCATTAAATTCTTGATTTATTTTTTATACATAAATGTACTTTTTTTCTCTTCAATGGAAATCCAAAAGAGGGAAGGAAAAAAAATTGTAAAATGAAATAAATAAAATAATTTTTTTCCTCTTCTTTTCAGGTTTTATTTCCCTTTTTTGGATTACTTTTTACTTATTTTTTTTTATGAGAGACAATCGTGCGCAAAAAGCAAAAATTATTTATAAGTTATTGATAATATTAATTGTTAAGGGGGTAGAAACCTTGTTCCGACAGTAAAATTAATTTACTGAGATTATTCATTAAAATTCAATTATCCCGAGCAATACAAAATATTAGGATTGCGACGACAAGTTTTGAGTCAGAGTAAAGAGATATCGGGGTATTGAACCATATAGAGACGAATCTGCCAGTGCTTGAATTAGACCTCTGTGGTCGAATGGTTAGACAACAAACTAGAAATTAGACACCATAAGAGCCGTGGGTTCAATTCTCACCAGAAGTCAATTATCATTATTGACTTTAATCATTATAATGGAACTACACTAGCGTCGATATGACAGGTATTCTTACTTGGCTCAAGACATTAAGCTAGGATAGAGCAGCGTTTGTTGAAGAATCGTTTTTAAAATTCAGAGTAGATTACTAGTTTTAGTTGACATTCTGTCAATCTGCTCCATAATTAGCATGTATGCTTCTTCTCTATTCGTCTCGGAATCGAAATAGTCAATGGTTCGATTCCCACTCCAGAAAAGTTTATATTTTTCTGTTAAAATATTGGAGATGGATTCGAATCCAAGCACATTTAGAAGATTGTCTGGAAGTGGTGTTGTAATTTTCTTCAATCAAGAAAAAGTAAAGACATTTCCTCAGTCGATTCCCAGATAGAATTCACATCTACCATCAGAAATTTCAAAGATATAGGGTATTCAGGAATGAGAGGAAGATCAAGGAGGTTATCAATTTTTGAATAATCACAACCCTCACCCTTCAATGAACCAAGATAGAAGCTATACCAAAAACATCTAAAACTTTATCTTTAATAATAAGTCAGCAATTTATAGAAAACAAAGAACCATATCAATTGTGAAGGAATCAGCCGGAAAAAAATCAATAACAGCTGGTTTTCGGTGAAATTGATATTCTGTTTATGCCTGTGAACAATTTATGTTCCAATTACAATTATTACGTAATCGCTGTTCTTTCCAGTCGATTGAGAAATATATTTTTAGATTTTCACAGTCAATATCAATTTGTAGACTTGAAAATTAGCTTTAGAAAGAAACCAGCTGATTATTGAATTTTTTGTAAGGTATGGTGTGTGCTAGCCTACTGGAAAATGGACTATAATTGATGATTTACTCATTGTAAATTTACTTTTGCTCTCATTCATCCAATAAGTCAATATTTTTCATTTAACCACAAATTAATTAACCCTCAACTTTTGACCATTGACCACCCAGAGTATTGGTAGATCCAAAACTTAATAATTTTGTACTGCTCGGGATTGTTTCTACCTCCCCATTTCCATTTAATATTATTATGACTTTTTCAACTGTCAACATTATATATAATGTTATAAGGGATGCATCAAACAAATAAAATTATTGTAAAAAAATTAAATAAAACAAAAAATTAAAAATCTTGTGTACTGATTGTAATAAAAAAATTTTGCATAGCTTTATCAATAATTAAATCAGATATTAAATTGTGATTTTTGTCGAACAAATCCATAAATAATTGGCGTGAATAATAATTGCTTTCCTCATCAACCTTTCGGCAATAAAGTGCAAGTAGTATAGACTAGTAGCAGTATAATTTTTTTTTGGGTAATTGTGTAGTATATTTATGAGTGCAACAATACAATATGTACAATTTCAGTACATATACATTCACATAATAATTTTTTTTTTCATAATAATTTGCAATAAATATATTTCAACGATGAAAGCAATCATAAATTTAAAAAAAAATCAAATTAATATTTTTTTTGTTTCAATATTATATATGTATAAAAAAAGGAAGAATAAAAACGATATAACAAGGAACAACATATTGAGAGTGTGGATTTTTTTTTAAACAATACAAATTCGAATAAGTGATGGTAAGGGCAAAAAGGAAGGAATGAAACACATAATTTTTCCGGATTATTTATATACACATCATATATCACTTATATTATTTTTTTTGTAGCATTGAAAACTCACCTCAATTCTATCAGATCGTGGAAGTTTGTGCTGTTGTGGGGGCATTGAAACGGTTTGTGGAACACATGGGCCGAGCTGTGGTGAAACTGTTGCAGTTGCTGTTGACGGATCGGGCCCTAATATTGTAGGTACTAATTGTCCAGGAGCATAATATGGATTGTATGGATTATTAGCAGGTACACCAGTTATGTAAGCGTTTGCAGTCTGTTGGGATTGTAAAAAAATTTTAGATTTAATGTTAATTATTTGAATTGACATTTTTATTGTTTGGTGGATACAAAAAAAAAGTGGAAAGTTAAAAAATAGTTTTTCATCAATTTTTCGAAAGTCTTTTGAATATAGTTGAGAACTTGTTGATTATATAATGAAATTTACTGAGGGAACATTCTAATATTATGGAATTCTGAAGAACTCGAGCGATGAATTTTGGTAAAATTAGAAAAAAGAATGTAAGGTCTTAGAATTATTCAATCGTTGACTACAAGCCCCAATGGCACAAGTCGGTTAATCGATCAAAAATCTGGCACCAAGCCGATGTAACTCTGATGATTTAAATAGAAGCCAGAACCATGCCAGGTTGGCGATAGATTTCAATTCGATTAACCGACTTATGCTATTCGGGAAGAATTTATTCAAAGTCATTAAGGACATCGGAATTCTAACATAGGGGACTTGGGATGGTACAACAGATCATCGATCGCAGTGCCGCTTTTGCTATTAGCAAAACCCTATATTACATTCTATTCTATTCAAAGTCTAAATTTTAAGGGCATTCATCAATATTTCAATGACTCTTCTAGACATTTCTATTGAGACTGCAGTTAAATTTCTCTATTCCAAGAACATCAGAAAAGCTTTACTTTTAAGATCAATATTAATCCTATTAAATATTTCCATCCACACAAGATACTTTTAAAGTAATCATATTCAATCGACATTTTAATTAACATTAAAATCTTTACTCAATATATTTGAAACTCTTTTTCATCTATTAATTTGTTTGTATTTAAAAATAATTCCAAATAGCAAAGAATAAGAAAAACTTTGTAACTTTAATTCATTGGTTAAATATTTCCTCAAGAGAAATATTTGAAAAGAATTTCTATCCCAAATAAAACTTTCTAAATTATCTAGTCTTTGGTTTCAAATAGAGGAAGTTTTACATACCATAGGCTGTAGTTGACTTGTTATAATTGGTTGACCATTTGGTGCTATTCCCATCTGTTGCATTAGTGCATTCTTCAATGCTAAATGATTACGGCCGTTTATCAGTAATTGATCCTTTAAATGTTGGGGCGGATGGTAGTACTTGCATGGTGGTTTTTCACGATTACATCGACCCTGTGGGAGATAAGAAAAGTTTGGAAATTTAATTTTATTTTTTAATTGGAAGTGAAGTTTTGTAATGAGGAATGTTTTGATGTTGGGTGATTGGATGACAATTAAGTTGATGTCAGATCAAAATAAAATCTGGAGTATCGAGCTTTATGTATGCTTTCCCGATAGTCGAAGTCGAAATATTAGTCGAGACCAAGAAATCGAGAAAGTATACCTTTATGTAGGCGAATCTATCAGAATTAAAGTCAGGCCTCTGTGGGGGAGTGGCAAAGCTACAAACCGAAAATCTATAACTATTTCCTAAATGAGTCCCTTGGCTCGATTCCCACCAGATGCCAATCTCTCAATTATTTCATATAATGTTGTCAATATGACTAGGATTCATATAGATTCGCATAGGTTTACAATGCAATATGACATGCACATAGCTAATTACGAGGTCAGGCAGTGGTTCTCAAACTGGATGCTGCGACACATTAGTAACACATAAATGTTTTCCAAATGTTTAATATTTTAATAAATATCAAAAATTGTGTTACAACCCAAAAAAGTTTGAGAAACCCTTGCTAATTGGCACTCCTCTTCTCTACTTCTTATCGTGCAATTAAATTTCCAAATTCTCAAAAAAAAATCTTTCAAAATTAATTTCAAAACTCCATCATAAAATCAAAAACTTTAACTCAAATTAATTTGAATAATATAAACAGCATCGTCTTCTCATCTCTCGCAAACCTTAGTTAAAATAAATGGATTTAATTAAATGAATGAAGTACTCTCTTCACTTTTCATGATAAGTGAACGCTTAGTTCTTGTTTGAACAACTTTCTTTTTTTCCTCTCGACGAGATTCCTGATCTTTAAGATTGCATGATTATGCACCACAATTTAAGCAATTAAAAACTTTACTGTTGAACTCATTACCGCTTGTGAGTGAGAAAAATGCAATCTTATGTATGAAGAACTACCGGTCCGTAGATTTCTTTAAATTTATGTGAGTTGTAAATAAAAAAGCAGCAAGTGCTGCGTTTCAGCAATCAAGGAAATTCTAATATTCCCGGTATGAAAATGATGATTTATTTATGTTTTTGTTGGTTTCTATTTTTTTTTCTTGTTGTAGGTACCAACAAATTTATTATAAAAAAATATCCAGCCATATATTTGAGTATTTTCGTGTCTTCGTTATGCAAACTGAGGTGTGAAAAAATGAACAGTGAAATGATAAAAAAAACTTAAGATTGTTGGAAAAACTTTTTCATCACAAGTTTCATTTCGTTCTGCCTCATAGCGAATATTTTCAACTCTCTCTTGCGCTGCCTCACTTCCAACAAGCAGCACAAAAAAAAATTCTCATCTTGTTATGAGTTTTATGCGGTTTTTAAAAGTTGCACGTAAGTACACAACGATGAGAACAGAGAATTTCGTATGTATTAATGTACATACTTAACATTTCAAGCGATTAAAATTTTTTACGAGATATGAAAACTGCACATATGCCTGCTTTCGCATATGACTCATGATTACAAGTACACATGATATTTAGCAAAGAAAGTTTCGCGATGACATGAGAATGAAAGAATTTTTCGTACAAATTAATTTTTGTTACAGCTTAAAGCATTTTAATTAATTGCGGAAAGAAAAACAAGAAATATGCAAGACTGGTTATTAGGGATGATTATGTATCTTGTTTAACAGGCTTTTTGGTGGTTGTAGTTTTTGTTGCATTTTTATGGTAATTCAGGGGATTTAAAGTTTGAGTTTTGGTGGGTATTAAGGTGCGAGATTATGTTAGGATGAGGAGGGGACATCCTCCCTCAAGTTCATCATGCAATTGAATTTCAGACATTATTTTTCTTATGAACAAAATAAATGTCAGTTTAAGATAAAGTCCACAGTGAAACCTAGAGTCAACTTCTGCAACCCTTTCCCTTTTAACTCAAAACTTAAAAGTTCATGCTATGTCATTGAATACATGCTTAGATCAGTAATGGCTAACCCATGTGCTGCGAAGAAATTCGGAAAATCCCATGAGCCATTAAGATGTACCGTGACACAGGAAAGGTTGGCTTACATTAATGTTTTTCGGATAAGACAAGATTCAATTCCTTCATCACGAAACTCACCTAACCTGCGGATACTCAAACACCAAACTGAATCAACAACGGCTGTATTCCAACCTCTTAAATGTCCACAACATCCAAATCACCGCTCTAGCTTAAAGCAATAAAATAAACTTCAGATGCAGATCATTAGAAGAAGGTACAGACAATTTTTCATAAGAACTTGTCGTAAGACCAACTCCGCTTGAGGCTATCATGTCACTGACTCACATTCAACTCCTTGATAATAATTTAACTATTTATTTATTTACCCATAAAAAATACAAAACCATTTTTAACGGTTCCTCAAATTCTACAATGTTCCACAACATTGTGCAACAAAAATGCATAAAAATGCAAACAATTTGCATAAATAAACTCAAACTCATCATATTGCGCCAACTTCAAAACAAAAAGAAAAAAATGAAAAATTGTGGCGAAATAAAACATTAAAAATCACAGAGAAGAAAAATATTCAGTGAAAATTCAAACATTATACTTTTCTTATTATTGTCGCTTCTGTCTACCATCCATCATCATTGCGAATGAAATTTATTAAAAGCTTTTCTACGAGACGTCTCCCTCGTTCTTTTTCCATTTTTAGAGTATTTTTTAATGGGGAATGTGACTATAGTTTGTGATTTGTCTGTCTGTTTACCTGCTTGTCTGTGTTACATTATAATTTGAATATCCTGAAAGGCACAAGTCGGTTAATCGAATATAAATCCGGTGCCAAGCCGTCATGGTGCTGGCTTCGATTTAAATTCAGAACCACGCCAAAGTCACACCGACTTGGTGCTGCATTTCTGATCGATTAACTGACTTGTGCCATTCGGTCATATGCATATGGATATGTAAGCTTTTCTTTTGTTACTGACGTCTACTAGTTCCTTGACCAAGACTGACTTCCCAAAAATATACACAATCATGAAAATGCGTCTTTAAGCTGCGTCTTCTCAGCCAATCCAACTAGTATCATTTTTATTTATTTATTTTTTTTTCTCACGTTGAGAAATAAAAAACCTTTTTTTGTGATGAGAATTGTGAGAAAAACTGTGGATCGGTAGAATGAGGGATAAGAAGTAACTGAAGTAAGGAAATTTCTTAAAGGTAAATCACTGCCAAGATAGAATAATCCACTTCAAGTTTTTTTTCTTCTGTTTAACAGAATAGAATTGGTTTACTTAAGTATTTTTTGGTACCGTACAGTCACTTGAAAAATGAGATGAAAATGTCGGAAGAATTAAAGTCAATTTTGTGTAAAGTTTCATAAAAAAAGTTTTGTTCCAAATTATTGAATTTTTTTCCCACTGCTGGCATGTCGTTGTATATTTATTGCTGAAACGCCGCAGTTTTCTTGGAAATTTATTTTAAGCTATTTTGATGGCTATGCCAACATCTTTTCTTTATCTCTTTTATATTGCTCTCTCTTGCTTGCTTTTATTGCGGAGCTCATCAAAATTTTTAAAATCTTCTAATTGTGTATCTTTTTTGTATGAATCAGCAGGGTTGTTGAAAAGGATGATTTAAGGAGTTTAGGGAGTGGATGTGTATGTAAATTGGGCTCTGTCATTCTATCATAGCTTAGATATAGTCTTTATCTATTCCCAGAATTTATCCTTAAGAACCCGAGCTTTCTATAGTCGAATCTGGCATTTAAGGAGTAAGGTCTCTATGGTCAAGTACTTAGGTAGCAGACCGACAATCTACAACAGTATTTTTCGTAAGAACGTGGGTTCAATTCTCATTAAAAGTTGATCGCTGAATCATTCCAGAGAATGCTGTCGTTATGAAAAAAATATTCAGCACATTGCTCAATAGCCTTCTATATCCCCATAAGAGCTCCCATAACAACCCTGATTTCCAACATAATAATAATATTTATGTCACATAAGAACAAAAACCCTTCTTTCCCCCATTCAGTCTCCATCCATAAAACAAGAAAATGCTGCAGTAATTTCCTTAATTCGTAAATGTAACAACTAATTTTGCTAATGCTTAAACAATAATAAACAGCAAATGTGATTAAGACATAATAAAAAAAAAAGCTAAAAGAGTAAGTACAAAAGCAATCTAAGACGATGAGATTCATGAAAAGTTTTTTTTTTGTTTTGCAATAATTGTCCTCATAACACTTCTCATAAATATCCATAAACATTTTCGGGTAATGCATTGCACAAAGAGGCCAAATCACATAGAAAATGAAATAAAAAGTGAAAATCATCCCCTAATATTGGCTTCGAGAGCTGAGCTCGAGTGAGTGAGTGAGTGAGTGTATGAGTGTAATAGACGAATGAGTGAATAATTATGTACCACATAATGTTATACGTATATTTTCTACAAAATATAAAAGCTTATAGTCGGGGCATTAAAACTATATATTTTGCTGTATACATGTATATAAATAGACTCAATGGAGCCACATAACCGCAATAAAATTGCAACAATCCATAAATATCGTTTCACTCAAATTATATTCATATATAGCGAGGCAAGCTGTATAAATATGAACTCAACTGGCACAGCTTTAATGTGCCTTTCTCGTTCCTACTCTTACTTGCTCTTTCAGCTTATTATTGCCGCTTTTTATTATAGCTATTGTTGTTGTTGCTGTTGCCGCCACAAATTTATGTGTGTAGAGCTCTCACTCACTCTCTCTTCAATATTTCTTTTTCCTCCTTTTTTTATTCTATGCATATATACACGAATAAAATGAATAAGCATTTCGAGGACACAAGAAATCACAAATGAAATGAAAAGAATAGAAACGGCAGTTCTATATTCGGATATACACCCCCACACTCATTCATTCTAAAAATGTAAAGTTTAAATTTTTAATATCAATTAGCTTAAGCAAATATATTCATATTGTCAAACATATGTTTGGAATCGATTACTGTAGACGAGC